AAGCTAGAGACTTGAAATTTGGAACACATACTCGTGTATATCTCCGATTTATAAAATGTTAAAATTTTCCGGATCCGCACGCTAGGCGCGTGGCAAATCGGAAAATGCATTTTCCGATATGCCCGAAACCATATTAGTTGAAGATCTAGAAGGCTGAAATTTGGAATGTAGATCCGCATCGACCACTCAAGATCACGTGCTATGGCGGATATATCTACGCCCATTGGGCGTGGCAAATTGGATAAAACTGTATCTCCTAGAGTTTTTAAGCTAGAACGTTAAAATTTTTCACATGAGCTAATGATATGATTCTATAAAGATTAATGAAAAATATAGTGGTTTTTGAAATTCTGCTATATTTTGGACACTATTGATGTTAAAAACCTAAAAATTGGTATATAACTCGAGCTGACCTCCCACAGGGGCGTGGCAAACCGCAAAAGTGTATATCTTAAGTTAAGTTACTAATAACCTCCTCTATCGGTTCCCTAAATAATATTGTTACGCCTCTTTGGGGGCATGGCATATACAAAAATACTCTGTAATTTTTCATTTCTTGATCGCAAGTCTCCTCATTTTGAAGCTAGGTTACCGTTAGCTGACCAAAAATGAAGTCTCTATGCCCAATAGGGGCGTGGAAAATAGAGTAAAACTCATTTTTCTGCAGTAGTAGCGCAAAATTTGGCTACCAAATTGCTTAAGGGGTGTGAATGAGTATTCCGCAGTCGGTAATACCCGACTAACAACGTTCTTACCTGTTTGTATTGAAATAAGCCAATAACAATATATAATTTAAAAGATCTCATCAACACTTTTAGTTATTTCGTTCGTTGTGTACCTAAACTTATTTGCCGACTATATGTATATATACCAATTGGAAAAATACCAAATACCAAACACGAATATACCAATAGGGAAATGAAGATGGCAACGGTGACCATGATTGAGTATTCCCCAGTTGGTAGCTTGCTTTTTATCAATATTTTAAGGGCATCTATATTAAGTTAATAAATAGCAGAGTCCTAAAATCGCTGCCCGACTCGACTTCAGACTACATCGTCATGCTGGATTCTATCGAATCAATACAATACAATACAATCAATACACCACATCCTTGGCGCCTTCGAACAGAAGATGTACTACTCTGCCGCATTCTTAGATGTCAAGCAAGCCTTCGATCGAGTATGGCACTTAAGATTGCTGCAAAAAGCAAGGGCAGCCCTCCCGGCTTCTATTTTTATGCTGCTGTCATCTTACATCACCAACAGAAGCTTCCTAGTGGCTAAGGGACAGGCTAAGTCATCGGCAAGACTTATCAAGGCTGGAGTCCATCAGGGCAGTGTACTGGGGCCAACGCTGACATGCTGATAGCAACGTATACAGATGACACTGCCATCTACGCAAGAAGCTACCGAGAGCCTCCAAAGGTACCTGGACGCATTTGGGAGTTGGGCAAAACGATGGTGCATAACCATCAATGCACAGAAGTCAGTTCATGTAAGCCTCTCAACGCGAAGAGGAGACTGCCCTGGTGTAACCCTGGGAGTGCAAATACCTACACTCAACAAAGTTAAGTACCTAGGTGTTATACTTGATAAAAAGCTGACCGATAGTGCGCACATCACGCAGGCAGTAAACACAGCCAGGATGAAAATTGGATTGGATGTTGAGAGCTGGAGGCTATGGAAGCAGTCGCTATGGAGCAAAACAAAAATTTATAATGCCATCGTTGTCCCAACGATTACATACGCTATCCCCATTAGGGGTACCGCAGCGAGGACACACATAAAAAAGTGCAAGCCCTGCAAAACAAGGCGCCACGGCGACTCATAGGTGCCAGCTGGTACGTTCGCAATTCTGTGCTTCACAGCGTTCTAAGAATGCGATTGTTGGCATTCTTGGCTGAGCTGATTGGACGTCACTCCTCGAAGTACGTGGACAGGCTCTTGGCGAACCCAAATCCACTGTCTACTGAACACTGGCTTCTAGCGCATAATTTAGGTTAAGGTTTAATGATGACTGCGCTATAGAGTCTAAGACAAGAAGCCGCAATAAATGAATTCTTAAAAAAAATAAAAATAAAAAAAATATTAAGTTCCTGCAATAGACTTTGCTATTTTGGATGATTACGAATGGAAGTTCCCAAGACAAGCACATCATATCATCAGAGATACATGCGAATCAAAACAGAAGTACGGTTGACCTTACGAAAAACCCTGACCTTGGCCACATTGAAACTCAGAAAACCAAACTGTTTCCTATTGGGCTTATCAGTTTCAGTTCTTAGTCCCTCATTAGCTATGCTGCATAATAAGAGTTGATACCATGAATCTTGATTCTCTTTGCAGCAATGCTCAGTGCCTTCCGTAACCCACTCACTAAGTACGCTTTTGGAGATTACATATAAGATTTTATAAAAGAACTTGCCTTTTATGATTTCAGCAGTACCAAGATTTTGCTGACTCTAAATTTAAATTGTTACATATGTATAGAAATGCCTTCCTATAACGCGAGTAGGCAAACCAATTTTCAATTCTTTATCACTTCATATGAATGCGCTGTATTTCGGATTTGTCATGCCACCAGTAGGCAAACGGATGGACAGTAAGACGCACTTAACAAAAAGAAGGAAATCAATTCACAATCATATCGCTATGTGAATGACATTCAAGTCAACTTGAACATTCTATTCCAAAGCCAAAAGTTATCCGTCGGTATTCAAGTACTGCAATGCGTTACTAACACAAACACACATCTGTTCACACCTGAGGGATGCATACCCACATATATATACACGCTCAAATATGGTAAGCAATCCAGGAGACTGTGTATGTCTCATACCATTTCCACCAAGTTCTGAATGCCCATCATATGACGTCTATCCCATTTACAATCAGCAGTCGAACAGAAATCGAAGTTTCGCTCAGCACTAAGGCTCGAAAGCAATCCACAATGTCTATGTCTATAAGTCTGTTGATGTCATCCCTGTTCCAACTAACTGTTGAACCGAATCTACAAAGTCTGTGTATCTTAATTTTTCACTTACCAATCTGAATGTTCAAGATATGACGTCTTTAAAATTTACAATTAGCAGTCGAACAGAAGACAAAGGTAAGCTCCTGGTTAGAGAATTGATCTTGATACATTTATTGAGTTTCGCAAATGTTAGTAAACAAACAGTCACATCAGCCAAGCTTTCTTCGTAGTGTCAAATCGGATGTTAAAGCCTTGCAGTAATATTTGTATTTGTGTCAGTATTTAATAGGTTTTTGCTTACATTATATATACACAATTATTTAAGATTTGTACAGGAAGTAAAACAAAACACGAAAACCAAATTAAGCCTAGGCCCACAGAGAGGTGCCGCTCTGCGAAGTTTCTCGAACCGTAGCATTACACAAGGAGTATATCAGACCCAGAGCCATTCGGTTATCAAGAAACTCTGTGAAGAGATATAGTTGAAGAAGAATTTCAGCAAGATGATCTATTTACAATATTGTTGCTTCTTCGTTGATTTGCGCATTGGCACGTTCATTATAGCGGCCAGTGAAATTCTAATGGATATTTGCTTCGGATTACTCATAGCAGTATATGGCGAGTCGGGTGAGTTCTCTGATTTGAGCTAAATGAACAGACTTCATTACTTCATTAACGGCATTTATTCAGGATCACCCGATCTGTGCCATAAATTATTTATTGCATTCATGATTTTGCATTTGATTAGCGCTGTGTGCCTCTTGATTGGCGCTATAAAGGTTTGTAATATCTATCTAGTATAGCGCGATATATGTAATATATGTATTTTTTTTTAGTTGCGTCCGGGATGCATGCTATTCTATATACTGATGACTATGGTCAAAATATTGGCCATGATCATACTGATTATATCGGACATAATACTGCTTATCTGGATACCAGTTATAATCATCTATGTGATTATGTTTGGTAAGCTGCACATACACACACACGCACACACACACAATTATATATATTCTAAATATATGTCTGCTCTTTCCATGTAGTGCTTGGGATATATTTCTGGTTTGTCACCTATTCGTTTTACGCTGCACTGGGCGGTAGCCTATTCATCTGAGTTACCAGTCGACGGCTGCCAGTAGATTATCGTTGTGATGAAATTGTAATGTGGACGTCAATTATATTGCCTTGCCTTAGCAATCATGTCTAAAGCAATACAAATAAAATTTAATACTCCACAAAAATTGATAAGTGTTATTATTGTTATTATTGCTTATATTATTGAAAAAATCTTCCTGCCCGTCCGCTCATTCGTGTGCATTCAAATCATTTCGCCGCTATTGAAGACTTGCAAATTAAAAAATATATACTGATACCTCTTCTGATTAGGTATAAGATTTTCCCGACACGCCATTTTCCGTACTGTTTATCTCATAAATTAGATTTTACTTGGATTAATATCTGAGAATTCTATGATAGACATCCTTGATGCTTAACAGTTATGTTCATTAAGTTCCAATAAATTCATAAAAATATTTTCAGGTCTACTGAAATTATGTGTAAAAAGTTTTGAACATAATTATTTATTCCTCAGTCGGTAGAGTCCGACTGCAACATTATTATTAATGCTAACATCAGCTGAACGATGGTTCTTCTAAAAAAATTTTGTTGTGTTCTTAAGTTGCGAACGGGCTGTTATCTAATTGCCGTCGTCGATTTGATCATTAATTTGAATATTATAATATTCAGCGGAGGTAATATCGCATGTATATTTATATATATATATATATATATATA